TGTTTACATTTTTTTACAGCTAGTTGTACTCTGCTTCTAGTAAGGAAAAAGGCTGGATAACAAAAGCTAATCAATCACATGAAATATATCATTCTTGCATTTAGGATGGATTTAGCCTCGATAGTAAAGCTAGATTAACTAGGCCCTTCTAATTCTATTTATCAAATAAACCATAGGAAACTTGTAATGGAGGCTCCCCATCACACCACCACTAGATAAGCAGGTGGCAGCTACAGACAGGACTGTTTTTTACTTGCTTCAGCTGGTTAGCCAGCTGCAGCCTTTCCAGGGCAGAAAAGCATTGTGGTGCCTGCTTTAGTTACCTCAAGATTAGATTACTGCAATACACTCTAAATGGGGCTGCCTTTGCAAAGGGTTTAGAAACTTGTTGCTGTAGAATGCTGCAGCCAGGATGTTGACTGGAATAAATCTTTAGGAACATATCATTTTTGGTCCATCTACACTGACTCTCAATCTGCTTCTGGATTCAAGAACGTGACCTTTAAAGCCCCATACCCAAAAAACAACCTACTCCCTTATGAACCTATATGGCCACTATAGTCATTTTTGGGAGGTCCTACACCTTGGGATAATGAGGCTGACAACCCAAGAGAGCTTTCTCCATTGTGGGACTAAAACTCTGGAACGCACATGTTCTCCTCCAAGATGGCTCACCCGTCCACTTCTGTCATAATCTTGTTTCATTCGGCATTCCGTTATCCCTGCACGTTTTATTACATTTCTGTAAGGATGTTAGAGTTTTCGTATTTGTCCTAATGTGTGTTGGTTTTAATGGTTTTTAAGAGGTGATTTTTATAATGTTTGTTAGTTACCCTGGTGGCCTTGGAAGGGCTGAAAGGCATGGTATAGTTTTTTTTAAGTACATAAAATAGTCACAGCTAATGAAAAAAAGATATGAGATCTATTATTGACAGGATGTGTCTGAGAAGTAAAAACTCTTAATTGCAACTGTTGGTTACCTCACACAGGGGTGGGAAGAATGCTACGCTTTTATTTTACAAGTTTGAATCTTGTGGACAATTCACAATCCCTTGTATTATGTTCTTCTCCAAACTTGTAAATTGTCTCATTATCTGGGTTTAGTCTAAATGACGATACCTGGGAACTTGCTGTCCTTTTATGCCTGATAAATCAATAAGTCGGAAAAGCTTACACATGCATAGAAAAGCTCATCTAATAAAAGCTGTGTTCCCTGTTTTGGTATCCATTGCAGATATGAAGATATTTATATTTAAAATAGGCTTACCAAGTGGCGGCAGGGGATCCGCATGTCTTTACAGGATCCCTGCCGCGGGGACTCCAAACAGCCCCGTTGCCAGAGCGACGCGTAGCGTCACATCCTGGCGACGGTGGTGCAATGCGTATCGCCGTCCCCGCGGCAGGGCTCCTGTAAAGACATGCGGACCCCCCGCAACCACTTGGTAAGCCTAATTTAAAATTACAAAGAACTGGGTAAATTGATAAAATTAACATGCAAAATACACGGCGCACTTCAGCCCATTGCCTCTTTAGGAGTGCCAGGTCACAATGTTGTAAAACTGCTGGCAGAATTATACCTTGTGTGAAAATCCTACAGTTCTTATAGGTTTTAATCTTTTAATGGGGAGGGCTATGGCTCAGCAGGTAGAGTGTCTGCTTTGAATGCAACCCCCAGAATTTCCAGTTAAACAACTAATAGGTGATGTGAAACACCTTTACCCAAGATCCTGCAAAACCCTGACAGTCAAAGAAGACTGACCCTGAAAGACCAGTGGTCTTAGTACAAGGCAGTTTCATGTTCCCAGCATGATAACTGCTCCTTCTTACAGAAACTAGACTGGAAACAATGGATAACTATTTCATGAGATTTAGAGTGCTTATGGACACCAGATTAACCATCTCATGTTAGTGGCTTCCCTACAAGAACAACACAGAACACATCCTATTTTCAATCACTGAATTCTTCCAAGGAATCACTCATCTTATACCTGTCCTTATACTCTTGATTACAGTCAGCTTATAAAGAATCCAAGGAGCTGCGGTGGCTCAAGTGGTTAAGACGCTGAACTGCAGGCTGTGGAAGGTCAGTAGTTCAGCAGTTCGAGACCCGGGTGCCACATGATGGAGTGAGCTCCCATCTCTAGTTCCAGCTCCTGCCAACCTAGCAGTTCGAAAGCAAGAAATTGCAAATAGATAAATAGGTACCACTTCGGTGGGAAGGGAACAGCGTTCCGTGAGCCTTGGTGTTCACATGACCACAGAAACGTCTTCGGACAGCGGTGGCTCTTCGGCTTTGAAACGGAGATGAACACCACAACCCTAGAGTCTGATTCGACTGGCTTTCGAGCAAGGGAACCTTTATGGAGACTACTTGCTCACCAAGAGACCAAAGGGAACAGGATTCAGAACTCTTTATACAGAGGTTGAATCTAAAATGAATTACTGATGAATGAACTGTTAAAAATCTCTACTGAATCTCAGGACTGTCAAGTTTCTCTCACATATACTGGGCACATACACTTTCTTATATCAGCAGCTACAAGCTACACATCAAAGCTACTTTTAAAACAAAAAGGTAAAAATCACATTATGAGTGCTTAAGCCATAGGATATGCCCAAGGAACACGGTTCCAATGACAGCCTGCATGCTTCATCATTACTAATTATACTTAGCATAGCGGACATTACCCATATTTACTCAAAAAGGAGACCATGAATGTAAGATGGCCACCCTCCGAAATGTTACATCCAAAAACAATTTTACTGAACATAACTAATATGTGAATGTAAGAAGGTGCAACTAGAAAAAACCCTAGTCTTACATTGGAGCAAACACTGTATTTAAAAGTACTTTTCATTAAGAAGTTCATTCTGGGAGCATGCTCACATGGGTTTGGATGTAGGGAGTCTCCACAAGTTCAAATTAATGAATAAAGACACAAATGAGATCAACACAAGTTACAGCCTCTCCACCAATAATTTTCTTGACCATTAGTCAGTGGGCTCTCTATAAACAACAGCAGAAGCCTTTCATGGGTTATTATTACTCCACAATATCACCTACACATGCACTTTTTCCTCATGTAGCCACTAAAATATTTTAGCCATGGCCAAAAGCTCTAAAATCATGCTGAATACCACAGACTGAAAAAATATAGATTTACTTTCTCAGCTTTGCTGGTAATTGACTAATCCACCTGGTTCAGCTGGTTGAAGATTAAAAGGAAATTTTCAAAATAATTTCTTTTGAGGTTCTAAAATGTATGAACTGCCCAGAGAAGAACTAGCTGAATGTAAGCAGCCAAATAAGCTTTTCACTACAGGAGAAACAGCACATGCCAGTTATTCAGTAAAACAAGCCCTGCCACTCATACAGCCTGGTAGTTTTAACGTGATAATACATTACATACATGATGAGGGGGACACTTCAACAAGCATAATGAACATGCTAGCGTTTATAATCATATTACATACACTAACATTAGAAACAGTCTGGCAGCAGCAGATGTGTAGCAAGAGATGTATTTATCACTTGATGGTCTACAGGCATGCTTAGAATTACTACTTAAGTATCAAATTTGAGACTGGAGATTGTGGCTTTTTAAGGAAAGCCAGTTTGGTGTCGTGATTAAGTGTGCGGACTCTTATCTGGAAGAGCCGGGTTTGATTCCCCACTCCTCCACTTGCAGCTGCTGGATGACCTTGGGCAAGCCATAGTTCTGTCAGAGCTGCTCTCTGAAGGACAGTTCTGGAAAAAGCTCCCTCAGCCCCACCTACCTCACAGGGTGTCTGTTGTGGGGAGGGGAAGGGAAAGGAGTTTGTAAGCCGCTCTGAGACTCCCCTGGGTAGTGAAGGGCGGGGTATAAATCCAATCTCTTCTACCCCAAATCTTCTTCTGTAAGCTTGGTTCCATACTAACATTTAGTTGGAGTTGCCAAAATTCACTCTTAAAATCTCTCCCTTTTCAACTTAGCCTTTTCATGAATCAACTGAAAATTAGCAGCTGAGGAAGGAGCATCTTAAGTACTAAATTGCTCATAACTGTACCACAAGTGCCATGAAGGTGAATGAACCAGTATTACCCTGGGACAAAAAAGTCAGGCTGAAAAGGGAAACATGTAAGATAAACAGAATCTCTGCTTATGAGGACATTCAAGTACACATGTAGCTCAGCAGGACCTTGCACCAACTGTGAAGGATTTAATTTGTAAATATATCAAATATGCAGATCCTACTGCATTTCTACTTGCAGCTGCATATGGTAAGGAATTTTTCAGCAGCACATGAGGTCAATGGATTAAGCCTCCCTAATGCTCCCCAGTTAATAGTGGTATGTTCTCCCTAAAAGACTAAGTATTGCACTGATCACAATGCAGTGGCACCCAGGCCATCTTCACAGCCTCCTCTGGGTAGCATGTAGATAAACGGCTGATTGCCAGACAAGAGCAGTCTAGACAACCCATCTGTCATTTTTCTTAAGAGGCAATGACTGCAGAACACAGGATAGGTCTATCAGTGGCTATTAGCCATGGTGACAAAGGGGATCATCCACATTCAGAAGCACTAAACCTCTGAATTACAAAGCTAGGAAGCAACATCAGGGGGAGGTCTCAGCCTCTATGCCCTGTTGTTGACCCTCCAGAGGAACTGGTTAGCCACTGTGTGAGACAGGATGCTGGATGGACCACTGATCTGATCCAGTAGAGCTCTTATGGTCTTATTTGCATGTGTTCAAGAAAATGCTGTGCACGTATTCCCTTTACCCAAGCCTGAAGAGACTAGTAATATACACTGCTCCAGAAAAATCATTACTGAACTTACAATAAAGTGCTATTGTAAAACTACATCTAGCCATCCATTTTCCAACCCACAGTACATTCTACCACTGCCAAAAGCTTTTACTGTGCAACTAGATATACTGGACAGAATACTTACTTGAAACTGCACTCGAAGGTGTTGTTGTTTTAAACTACACTTTGAGTTTTTCCTTTTGGTGCGGGAGATCAAAATCAGCGAAGTCCTTACTGACTTGGTCAAGAATCCTGGGCTGTCAGATTTCTGGAGCTCAGTTTTTGTAAAATTCTAATTTCCTCAAATGAAAGACACAAGCATCCTGTGCTTGCTTTTCAGTGATGTTTGTTATCCACAGCTTTAAGGGTAGTAAGCCCCCTGTGGATGGTAATTTTGCTACACTATAAGCTACAACAGTGTTCCCTTTTCAATGCTTGATAAGAAAATCAACAAGGTATTTTTAAATGGTATGGATTTAATCTAAATGCAGGAGCAATCACTTTCTAGCATACAAGATCAATGTACATACTGGTGTTCTAATCACATCTGTCATAAGCAGTTTCTATTGCAGATAAACATTGCATGCAACACTTCACTTTAAAGCAAGGCAGTTTTAGCTTTGTGGATATGACAAAGCTAAGCTTAATGCATAATTCTGAATCCCTTAACAGCAAGCTCAAGTGGTTAGTTTGAGTGCTTCATTACTCCAATGCATCTGAGTGCAGCATGCTAAGCCATATGTTACTGTAACTAGTTTGAATGTCATGTTGTAGTCATCTTATTCATAATGTAGGCTCATGATCAAGGCAACCACCATCAGAGCAAGATGTATTTTAACAAAGGACTTTGTGGGAGTAGTTGCTTATGTATGAACATTCTCTTTGAACAGTCAATTATCCAAGCATTAAGCACAGTGAAATTTGAATATGGCTCCACAAAAGTAACAGTTCAAACTAAACTGTATGTGTCCCCTTGGACATATTTTACTTGAACGTACATCAAGATACAAAAGTTAAATACTTGCAACGATTTGTAACCAAAACTTTAATCCCAAGATCTCCAAAGAGTTTACAGTGACATGACAACTTCTGCACAATAAGAAAGTGTTATCACCTACAATGTACCCTTATGCATACAAATCATTTGCTTCAGTATCTGGCAGCTCATTATCTATGTAATGCTCTATTCTCAAAAATACAAAATTAAATCGGTACTTTACATAACAGAAAGTAGTTCTAACTTTGAGATGGTACAAATTAGAACTTGCAAACAGTTTTTAAAAAATCTAGCTACAAGGTTTTCACATTCCCTTTCCTGGCCATTGTTTTTATTCTGATCATTATTCTGACCAAGTTTCAAGAGTCATCCCTGAATGGATTGCCAATATGTGATTGTAACAAATGTTCATGATTTAATAGTCCATTTGTATTATAAAATTTAGACTAGAAGCATTTGCCACTGCATGGCTTTTCAAATTTATTTTGGTAAAGTTATGCAAGGTATTAGTTAACATTCATATAAGTTCAAGATATGCTTAAGGGTACACTGTGACGTTTATTACACTTCATATGATCTGCTCAGAACCATATACAGATTCAACAACTGTTACATTTGTCACCTGTTACAAGAGACAAGAACAAACAAAATTTGACAGCTAAAACATTTTAAAAATGCACCAAGCTTATGAAGTCTTAAAGAAAACAATGTTCTGTACATACTCCTTTCCTCAGATCTAATGTGACTTCCTGTACACTGCTCTTCCTCAAGTTCTATTTTCTGTCATTTGACCTGGAGCGGCTAAATAGAATAGATTAAAAATTAAATTGCATTGTTTGACAAATTAATTTCAATACATTTCACTACACAAACTGTCATGACTTTTATCTAACCCCCCCCCCCCCCACTCCCCCCCCCCCAACTAAGTATTAAGTTAGCATTCCATCTAGAACACCATACACCAGGGGTGGCCAAATTTGCTTAATGTAAGAGCCACATAGTAGAAACATGATGTCTGAGAGCCACGGGACATGAAAAAATATTACACACATTTTATTGGGAAATATGCAAATTTGCTTTTTATTAACATTAAATAAGACTGCCAGAAATAAAAACAAAAGGGGTAAAAACACATACTGATACTGATATTTAAAGAAACAAATACTTTCTACAACCTGCCGGTGTGTGTGTGGGTGGGTGGGCTTTGCAAACACATTTAAAATCAAAGTTGCTTTCTTTCTCTGCTCCCCACCACCACCTCAAGCCTACCCAGGGAGGGGAACATTGGCTAGAGAAGAGAAGATTGGTGAGGGAGGCATGCCTACCCTTCACTTCCCTAGTTACCCTGCCAGGAGCTGCACAATATGTGGCTCTCGAGCCGTAGTTTGGCCACCCCTGCCATACACCAAGTCAAACAACTTTTAATTATTGTACTATAGCTTTACTGAGTATAATTCAACTAAGATAGCATTCTTACCTACGAGATCTGGAAAATGAACGAGAAGGCTTATGATTCCTTTCCCTTGACAGTGATCTCTCTCTCCTTCTATCTCTAGAAAGGGATCTGTAACAAGAACATTCAGAATTACATGACAGTTTTTATGTGCTCTAGTGACCTTGGCAGAAAATAGGTCAATACAGTGGCAGTATGTTTAACTGCATTCTCTCTCTTAGCCCTTGAATATCACATTTTAAAAATTGTTCATACTTAAGTTTACACTATTTTATTAAATGTCTTGTCATGCTCGCAAGCACCTGCTTTAGTAGATATATTTCTGTCATTTCAAAAGTGAATTCTGAGTCCGCATTACAATAACCTGACATTTTCTGCATGAGTAAATGTTGCATAACATAAGATAATGCAAACACATCTTGTTGAAACATTGGAAGAATGATAGCAGCTAAGCAATGTAATTTTAGACCTTGTCCTTTGGACATTAAAATAGAACATTTAGAAAAATTACTATTTCCCACAGGACATTTTCTGTACCACAACACTAACAAACCTTCACCATTCTATAAACAATGCCAATAATTTACCTGCTGCGGCTACGAGAGAAACTTCTCCTTCGTGGAGATCTACAACCAGAAAAAGAAAAATGAGTCTTTTCATCAATTCAGCACTATTGGGGAGAGGCAATTCCCAACTTGTCAAGTCACTGTTGGGCCCAGTGAATGTGTCAAGATAAATGGCACCCATCGTCCAGCAAAATGGAAAGATTAAGGCAGTAAAACAAAACTCAGCGTGATCAGCATGTTTCCAACCATGAGTTTGCTTTAACTAAAAAACCTCATAGCAAACCTGTTCAATGCAGCACTTCCATCTCAACTAAATCCTCTGCCTAGAACACTATCCAAAGACCCACAAGTAATTCCAAAATTGGTATAAACCACTATTTTGGAACCCATGCAAGGTAAGAGTCCACACAGGACACATGGTACCAAGTGAAAGACCAATGCAGTGATGCCATTAAATGCTAAATTAGAACTGCATATTTGTGAATGTAAATTTAAAATGCCATAGTGTGTTTAGATTACAGAACCTTAGTCTGCCCAGTTCATCCCAAAAAGTAATTGTTTTAAGTTCTGACACTGTTAGTAAAACCATTTAAAGGTGAAAGGAGTTGGCAGATTTTTGCAAGGAAGAAATAAATGTTAGCAATTAAGTGTAGTTTGCCATCTTGCATGCAAATAATACTGCAGTTTAGTTACTTATATTAAGTTTCCTTAACACCCTTAAAAGTTTTATTCAAGCAACATATGTATGTTACCACTAAATTATGCACAGCCAGCCTTTGATTGAGAAAAATAATTACTTATAAGCTGCTTACTCCTTATTTTAACCAGCAGTAAACTGTATAAGCAGGAAAAACTTACTAGTTTTTTGGTTTCAACAAGCTAGAAATGGTGAGGTGAGGCTGCCGGACTGACTGCCAAGAAGAATTTGCTGAAAAGGTTTTGCCAGATGTTGCGTTGTATTTAGTTGGTTGGCGAAGGGGGTGTTGTGGATTTTTCCTGCTTTTTTGTTAGCCGAAGGCTGCTGCTGCAGTTGTTGTGAAGACATTTGGTAAATAAACAGCTGAGCTGATTGGCCGGGAATGTGTGGGCGGTCGAGGTGGCTGCTGCCGATTTGGTTAAGGTTGGAGAGAAGGCTGAGAGAAAACAGCATGCTCGGGAACCAAAGGGCGGTGCAACCTGACGACTGGCCATGCCTGGGTCATGTGAAACGACACCAGCCAAGCTGAATGGGGCGCGCTGGTCACATGACGCTGAAAGGGCTAGTTGACTGGCTAATGCAGACTCAGAGGGTGGTGAGAAGAGACATGATGGTGACTCTGTAACGGGTTCATTTTTATTAATAGATGGACCAAAAAGCATAAAAAAATGAAAAACAAGCCATCAGTACAACCATCTATTAGCTAACAAATACTCCTATTGTGTTTCACTCTTATCCTGTACAGACCTCCTTAGCCTGTTGCAGGTGATTATCAGTTCTTGCAGAAGCCAAGTATTGGGTGAACAATTAACACCCAACTTGCCTGGGTCAGAGAATGCTTACCAAGTAAAAATTTAGAGCTGTAGAACTCAAATTACAGCAGAGTCATACCTTAACAATTTTACTAGTGAAAAATGTAGCTCAGTAACTATTAATTACTTAAGCATTCTTAAGTAGTTGCCTGCTGAGCATATACTTGTGCTAAAATGGAAAAAATCTCAGGGGGAAAGCCAAGCTGTCGTAAAGTTTACCACAATGGAGAAAGAAAGCAAAAAACCTAAATTTGAGTAACGGGAAGAAAAAGGAAATAACTAGAGAATAAACAGACTTCAGAAGGAAAGAAGATAATTGATGTTAGAGGGCACTATCAACTGGCATAGACACCTAAAGACAAAAGTCAGTGTTTGACAATATGTGCTTAATTTATCTTCCCCTAACACCTTTAACTTTTCAAAAAGTCTATCATGCCAAATTATAATACTGTCAAGATCTATATAAGCTTTGTGATGATCATAGGTACCTGCGGCGAGGTGGAGGACTTCTTCTACGGTAATCATCTCGAGGACGTCTACCCCATGAAGGAGGTGGTCCACGGTTCCGACTACGCTTTTCACCATTGGACAATTCCACCCTGACACGGCATCCACAAAGAGTTCTAGGAAAAAACATCATCATCAATAATAACCAAACAGAATTAATACCTTTTTGGCTGTGAATTTTTCTAAACAAATGACTTTAGACTATCTGCAAGGCTTTCCATTATTTGCTTTGGTGAACAGCAAACATTTTAATGCAGTATGTATTTTAATTTCCTCAAATACATAAACAAGTAGGTTAAAATATCAACATGCCAGATATGTAGCATTCTGTTTACTGCCTATAGTACAACATATCTGAAGCCTTTTTTTAACACAAGGGATTTCTTAAGGCAGTAAACCTCTGCTAGTCTACCCTCAACACACACTGATCAAGTATTAATACCACAACTAAAATATGCTGTAATATTACTGAAGGCCTAGAGTACACATGCACTACCTCTCCACCCCAGATATAAATGTATGATTTTACCTCCCATCTAGCTCTCGAACTGCATCAGCAGCATCACGTGGGTCTTCGAATTCAACGAAGGCAAAACCAGGGGGATTCCGAGCAACCCACACACTGCGCAGTGGTCCATAGTAGCCAAAAGCACGTTCCAATTCAGTCTTGTTGCCATTGTTCCCAAGGTTACCTACATATACCTTGCAGTCCAGTGGACATGAATCACGATGCATCTCTGCAAGACAAAGGGGGGGGCATGTGGATCAATTCCATTTATGAGCAGGACCCAATAATACTTACTATAGCATCACATGAGGTATCTTAAACGCACTCAATTATTGTAACTCTCACATTCAGAGATACTGAACATAGCTGGCACGCAATGGATAGAACCTATAAAAGCTACATCCATCTAATACTACTTCAACGCTTATAACACACAGGGCGCCTAGGGCCTGGCTGTAAAGGAGGCGCCCGTTTAGGGGATGAGTCGAACCTTCCCCCAAATTCAGGCCTGTCTACTTTTCCAAAGCACATACCTCCCGATCCCAACACTGGCTTACTGCCAAGCCCCGTGTAAGCGCTGGACGCTTTCTAGTGTTTCTAGTGTGTGTCGGTGCAGAGATAAACTAGGACTCATTTTTCGTCGAAGAAAATTAAACCAATTCGTAATTACGGTGAGCAGGAGGCGCACTCACTCAGCTACTTCTGCGAGCCCTGCAGTCATGGCTTCCCGTTGCTCAGCTACTGCGAGCCCTGCAGTCATGGCTTCCCGTGGTTCTCCCTCCCCATTCGTCGCCACTCTGGGTACACAGTAACAGCGTCCCCCCCACGCCTGATGAGCTTACACCCCATCTCTCTTCATCCATTCCACAGAACTCATTGCCTGGATGAATACCCGAGGCCACTCCGACTACACAAAATGGCGGCGGCTCTTTGTCCGCTGTCGCAACCGCGCGGCCTTACAACCCAACCCTGTCTCACCGGCTTTCGGGCTAGGATAACTATCCTAAATTGCTGCTACACCAGCTACTTTGCCGCCGCAGCCGTCGTCGCCGCCTCCTCTACTCCTCTCAGCCGCCCGGCTTGAGTGATCCCGTTCGCCTTCCCGCCAAGACAAACCTCCTCTACCACACTTGCTTCTTCACACTGGACAAAATGGCGGTCAGCATGTACCCGCCCTGGGTTTATATACGTCCTGCCCTCTTTGTAACGTAATCAGCATGTCCACCAATTACAATGCGCCTCAACGGTGATTGACATTTCAGCGCTCCCTACCCATCCTCCGAAGCCGCCACTCTGACTTGGGGAGCTACTTTTCTTGTACGTTGTTGCCCTGTGGGTTGGGTCACTCTCACTATAGGAACCCGGCCGGAAGCAGAAGACTTGGAAAGGCTGGAAGAATGAAAGCGCTCGGATTTATGTAGGGCTGGAAAGTTTCTCGTGGAAGAATGAAAGCGCTCGGATTTATGTCGGAATTAGCAGTCTGTGTTATCATTTCTGACAAATAAAGCATTCGCCAAAACAGATTCGCTCATTCAGTACGTATCTTTCTTGAAATTATGGCTTCTAAACAGCGGACTCCCAATGCCTGTTAAATGCCTGCAGGATAGCCTTCTACTTTTAAAGTACAGTATGATACAGGATTGTATTTACCTCATTTGAATTTCTGTTGTTTTTAGCCCGAATCCGCATTGGCTTGTAGGTTTAAAAGAAAAACCACCTCCCAGTGATTGAAAGAGAGCTACCCAAGTTTAAGAACGCGGTGTATTGCCATCTCCAGGGTGGGAAATTTGAGGGTGGAGGCTGGAGATGGCGGAGTTGGGCGGGGGTGAGGGACCTCAGTAGGCGGTAATGCTTTGAATTCCTTCTCCAAAGCTCCCATTTTCTCCCGGGAAACTGATTTTAATTCTGAGAGTTCCGAGCAGATCTGGAGGTTGGCAATCCTATTTAGTATTACTTTTAGTAATCCATAGTATTCGTATTTGGGGGCTCCTATCTGGCAGCAGGAAAAGAGGAAGAGATGGACTGACACAATAAAAGAAGCGACGGCCCTCAATTTGCAAGACCTGAGAATGGCTGCTAACGATAGGATGTTTGGGAGAAAGTTAATTCATAGAGTCACCATAAATTGGAGGCATTATACTGGGGAAGGGGACAGCACAGATGTCAGACTCCATTGCAGCTGGTATGGAGTCCAGGGTGGTAGCATCCTCCAGTGTTCCCTTTCATAAAACTTATGCCATGAACTGGTGAAAAGAGGGAAGGTTTCTCTGTGTGTCCCTCCCCATCCCTCCATATCCCTCCATCCTCCTTGCCTCGCCTGTGGCTTATTGTGATTGGTCTAGCCCTTCCTCCTCGCTTTCACTGGGCTGGCTTATTGAAGGATTTCCTGGGGATGGGCTGTCCCCCGATTCCCCCAATGCCCTCTCTTCAGGGGTGGACTCCTGATGAGTGAAGGGTGTCTGGACCAATGGCCTATCCAGCCTCCTTGCCTCGCCTGTGGCTTATTGTGATTGGTCTAGCCCTTCCTCCTCGCTTTCACTGGGCTGGCTTATTGAAGGATTTCCTGGGGATGGGCTGTCCCCCGATTCCCCCAATGCCCTCTCTTCAGGGGTGGACTCCTGATGAGTGAAGGGTGTCTGGACCAATGGCCTCCCTTCTCTTTACCCTCCTCCTAGGTTTTACAAGGCAGCCCTGCCTGCCTGCCCCGGCTGCCGGAGGCCCCAGCCGCTACCAGCCACATCCTCTGGCCTGTTCCCAGGTGCAACCTGATCTGAGCTGTGCGGCTGCCTCTGTTCTGAGGCACATGCACCAGGCCTGCCATGCTCTGACGCTGCTGCAGGTGCATTTTCTGATGTGGTCTTGCCCTTGCTCCCTTTCCCATAGCCTTCTGGTTGGGCTGCCTGCCTCAGTGTCCCCCACTGGCATCACTTCTGGTGCACGTAGTTCAGGGGTGGGGCTGCCACCCCCCCCACAGCAGGCCATGTGGAGAGGCACAGCAGTGCCCCCTTCCTTGATGGGGGGGGCACACCTACTTACCTGATCTCCGCATAATGTAGGAGTAGCTGCTTGCAGACAACTGTGTTGTGGAGCATGGCACATATGGTGAACAGCTGGGCAACGCCAAGGGCTACATGGCGCAGGCAATGCAAGTATAGCTTCAGTTGGTGGAATGCCTGTTCAGTTACTATGCCATTCTGATGGTGCACCTGGTTGTCACTGGCACACTGGCATATGATGTGAGCAGGTATGGGAGCAGGAGGTAGCCCCAGTCACCTGTGACAAGGAAAACAACAGCCATCTGAAACACGCCACAAACTGAGTGCTCTCCCCAGTGGAGGCACAGACCTAACAGCCAGCCCTTGTCCTCTGGCCAAGTGTCCAGTAGGTGATTGAGGCCAAATGCAGCAAAGATCTGTGTATTGTGCATATGGCATGAGCACTAGGCCACAAAGTCTGTAAAGATACCGTGGCGGCAAAAGCTGGCCTGCACATTCAAGTGGTGTTGGTTGCGGTAGACCTGCAGAGATCCTGGGGGACTATTTGAGTGCAGTGGGATGGGGGAACAGATGTGCCTCCTCCATGAGGAAGTACACATGCTCCTGCAGTTGCAGCAGCATGGCACCTGGGAAGCTGTGGAGGCAGTGGCTCACCAAGAACAGCGACATCTCCAGCTCCTCAGCCAGAACTGCCTGGAATGAACAAGTGGCAAGACAATGGAGAGACAGCAGCACCTCCTGCATGATGGGGATGGCTCTGGGAGTGCTGTGCTTCCGTGATGCCCTCTGAGGGCAAGGGAACATCATACCTGGGGTGGGGTCTTGAAAGCACCAGTCCAGTCATTCTTCCCTTGCGCAGATAGTTTTTATTTTCAGTTGACAACTCCAGGCACCTGAAGGTATATGGTTATATTTACCCACCTCAGGGTTATAATACATTACAAAGGAGAAGAGCCACAAAACTGCAACCTGCCTCTTTGCCTAGAAACATCCTTGAGACAATTCTCCCTCTCTGGCTGCTGTTGTTGCTGCTGTTTCCCATTTCTCCTCTTAGCTGGCTTGGCTTTCTTTTCTGCTCCTGTACCTTCTCCAGCCAGCCCCCTTTCATTTCCCTTTCCTCTCTTTTTATGGCCCCAGCTTCACACCTGGCCCTTGACCTAAGCAGCACCCACCACGTCTCTGTTTCATGCTCTCTGCAGCCACAGCCTGTCTTTAAAAACCTGGGCCCAGAAAACCATAGATCTTCCATCCAGGCTTGCTCACTCCCTCCATACCTTTTGGCCTTCCCCTGGACAGATTGCCAAAGCTACCACGGCTGCAACCTCCTGCCCCTGGTCTCACCTTGCTCCACCCAGGTGAGTACCTGCTACCAGGCCCAGGGGTGTGCCCTATCCCACCAGGCAGGTCATTGGCAGGTAGCTTGCCACAGCCTCACACAGCTTCACATAGGGCTTGGATGGCCTTCCTGTCCAAGGGGAACCACACAGGCAAATGTTGCCAGTAGGGTGATGATGTGCTGACAGCAGCACCTCCTATGGTATTGCTGTGCCACCCAGATGTACAGCATGGGCAGGAAGTGCACTGTCTGGATCCCTACTCCATCTGGTGGCCAGCAGGGGGCAGGGATGCCATTCCAGTGTTTGGAGGTTCCCATGGTGTCTGTCCTGCACTTGCATTCCCCTGCTGCATGTTGGCATAGCTGTGTTGGGCCCAGCAGGCAGTGACACTCACTGCCAGCCTAACTGGACTGAGGCTGAGAAAGTGCTCCTGTAAGGGCTGGTGGTGGGGGCTTCCCAGTGTGGCCTTTGCTACCACCAGGGACAGCTGTTTGTCACCGTGCCTTCTGATGCATGATGGCAGAGCAAGTGTCTGTCCTGGGCCATGCTGCACAAACGGGAGCTGTCCACCCAGAAGTCATACCTTGGGGCTGGCTTGGAGGTGTGTGCCTGTCCTCATGGCTCATGGCAGTCCCTGTGGCCCGGCAGTGGTGGAGGGCCTGCCTGGTGCTGCGGCAGTGATTATGTCCATTGAGGTGGGTGGTTGTGGTGTCATTCTTGTCTGGTGGGTGTAAGGCCTTGGGCATGGTGCAGCCCTGGGGGCCCAGCAGAGGTTGCCAGCCCATGCTGCTTGTTCACTCCTGCCTTTTCTCCTTTAGGCATCTTGCTCAGTGGAGAGGCCAGTGCATGGCTGTTGAGTGCGAGGAATGGTGCGGAGGTTGCTCTGCACAACAGCTTGGTAATCACGGACCTGTGGAATGAGGACATTAGTGCCGTTATAGCCCCAGCAACCCTACTGGATGACTCCTCCATGAGGCCCCTGGCAGGCTGCATCCCTAACACCTATTCCATGATTGTGAGCCAGGAGGAGATGAAAGTAGCAATGAGGCAGCCATGGTGTCTGCAAAGCTGGACAAGTACAGAGGTGAGATAGCAATGAGCACTGTGCCTGACTGTGGAGCCCACGTGTGGCATGGGTAGACCCTGCTGCCTAATGTGTTACTCTTCATTGCCCCCCCACAGGCTCCAGCACCCTGACCTTCTCCCGCAGAGTCATGGAGCATATCTGTGCCCTTTGAGACAGGCCATTCAAGCCAGGCTGGTTGCCAGGTCAGTTGTCCTCTGACCCTTGGGCATCAGGGACTCAGGTGGTAGTTGTCACTGGGGTCATGGACAGGTGGCAGGCATGCATCAAGGGGCATGCATCATCAGTGCTTGCCCTTGTGGCCCCCTCCTAGGGCTACCAAGTACTTACTGCAAATTGGCGGGGGACGTATAGTTCTTGGCAGGAACATTCCTGCGGGGAAAATACAGGCGCTGCACTATCTTGTCGCCCAGACATGACGTGGGTATGTAGCCAGGCGACGTTCTGGCAACGGGGCTGAAAACTTGATGGTACCATCGAGTTTCGAGCCCCATTGCCGGAGCATCGCCCGGTGACATGCCCAGCATGCTCATGTCAGGTCTGGGCAACAGGATAGTGCGATGCAGCTGTGTTACACACAAGAATGTTCCGGCGGGGAAGCATGTGTAGGTAGGTACTTGGTCACCCTACCCCCTCCTGCTCCATTGCAAGTGGTGGCTGGGGCTCCCAGCAGCCTCCCCCAGGGCTGGCCTCACCAATATGGCCGTGATTCTGGAGGCACTCC